TTGACGAGCCAATATTGAATTTGATGATCCGAACCTTCTTTTTAATGGAATAGACTAGATTTGTTCGGTTCAGGGTTCTTTTTTGTCGACGATCATTTACCGAACCGCAGAGCATAAGTTTCAATGATATCGACATCGATACCTAGCGATTATGTACATACTTAATATATATAATACACACACTCACGTCAACACATATATATCCGAAACGAAAATCTGAAAAATGATTGCTCACTATTGTTTTCGATGCAGTTGTTGATGTGGCTGTCTCGATATTGTGTGCCATATGTGCATACGAGTTTCGACATTGGCAGCTTAGGTAAAGTTCGAATTAGTTTTTTTAACACCAACGGATTATGTCGAATTTCCTATGTAATTTTGCCATTTACGCATCTTTCATCATTCTTTTTGGATGAGTTTTTGAGGTGCTGACATGCGATTCTCCTTATGCCAGACACTGAATGTGAATTTGGTGAAAATGATACATTTTTATATATATGGAGATGAATAACTTATTCTTCATTACTTATTCTGAATGAGCACACAGTGTGTGCTATACACACTTGAACGTAAAAAAAAAGATTAATCGGAATAAAACCCATTCAAGATGGAAATTCATCCAAAAGTGCAATCAATTTTAAATAGGAATGAAAATTAAATCGATTTAATTAGGTTCTAATTGTTTAACAGGACGTTGACATGGTCACATCACCGGTCACTTATTTATGGAGCAAGTGTATCATTTAGCGTGAATAATCGATTTGTATCGTTCAATCAATAAATTTATGCACGCGCGCATTCGATTCAACCTGGTTAACCAGTTCTTCTTCTTTTTCTTTGTTCTCACTTGTAAAGGTTCAGGTGTCCAATGTCCAGTAAAAATAACACAATACACGGTACACGCTCGAATTACACGTGTGCATCGCGTCTATTTCCGAAGTATACCGAATAAAGGAGACGAGCAAATATTTTGTACAGGTGCACAGGCGAGCACATTTCTTTTCACATTGCATTGAATTAAGAAACCAAAGAAATTATCGTTAAGATTCGACGTAAATTCAAACACGAAGATTGTGACCGTGGGTATTCAATTAAAAGAAATATGTTTCAAGAGCATTTGCTTCATTTATTCACCAGTTCAAGGTTAATTTAATATGTTTTTGTACAAAACTAAAGCAAACAGTCACTCCCGCTGTTTGTTAAAGGTACACCGCTCGTTTTTTCAGGCGAAGTTCATTTTCTTCTTTTGTTAAAAATTTCATTTTATCGAATGAATTTTAATTTGATGTCATTTTGATGAATTTATATTAAACTTGAGCGATTTAAAGTAATTGTATTGAATTTGAAATTTTCCTTATTATTTTGAGTCCTTATTAAATGTCCCGCTTCATCCGGTTTTCCTTACCGAAAGTTTCCATTCTTGTTCTCTTGTTGAAAGTTCCAATTTGATTGTAAACAACAAAGCGTCCGAAGTGATTACGAACTGACTCAAACAGATTTGCCGAAGTTCATTCAAGATATGTGCTGAAAGATAAGACAAATATTTGCTGTAACCGAACAACTACCTGTTCCGATTTGTTTCGTGTCCATTCACATTCGTTGGGGTTTTCTTTATGAAATTGGACATAGCATTCGGACTAGCTTCCCAAACCAATAAAATAAATGACAAATAATGACGTTGCAACAATTGAAAATAATCTCCATTTCAAATTAGCGATAATATTTGGCCATGGTTCGGTTACACCTTCTTCTTTTGTTATCCCTTGTTTTCGTCATGTTTTGCTATTCCGAGCTATGATTAGTAAATGGTTTGTTTTGGTTGTCGGATTTGGCGATTGTCTCTGTTTTCATGTTCACCGATGTTCGTTATTTTTATGCGTTGTTCTCTTTGTGGATTTTGTTTCGGACCGGGCCGAAAAAGTCACGCTGACCGCAACAAGTACATAGTGTCTAGAAGTCTAGACGCTGCTACAAACAATAGCCAATCGAGAGAAGCAGCCCTTACTAACAAGACAAGATATATTTTGACAAACCCAATCATATATGATCCCGATTCTCTTCGCTTTGGCTATGATGTTGCCGATTCATTCAAAAATTCTGTTTTTTTGCATCGGACAGTCCTCCGGTGGAAATAAATTATCAGAGCATTATTTGCCATTTTATTCGACGAAATCCCATTTATTTTCCGATTTTATTGACTTAACGATTGTGTAATGATTTCGAAAACGGCAACATTTGAAACAATTCAGATTACCCATTTTGATTGAACGAATAAGCCATGAAGCAGAAGTAGATCGCTTTTGACTCTATTCCGAAAAAACAAAAATCGTTTGTGTGACGCCATATGGCGATTAATTTGAATTTTATTTATCCATATTTACATATTTCTATGTCATCATTCATTTTGTTTCCTCCTCCTTTTTATTCGTGTTTCTTTTTCTCTCGAAAATTATGAGTCTTCTTTTAAAGTGATGGAACTAGAGCAACCGTAAATATTAAAACCAACTTAACCCACAACAACAACAAAAAAAGTTCTCCAGTCTAATCGAAATTATCGTTCATTATTTTGGTATTTTCAATCATTTTTTGGTTTTTTTTCTTCTTCAAGTCGAATTACGTGGTTTGGCTTTGCACCAAGGAACTAGGTATTTTGTTTCCGATCGGAACAATAAACCAAGAAAAAGGAACAACAACATGTATATGCGAGAGCAATAAAAAAACAAATGATACAGTTAGATTTGGTTTCGTCTTTTTTTCGGGTAACACAAGAGCAACACAACAAGAGCAGCACACAAAATAAGGCAACCATACACAAAGAAGAGGCCAACAAAAAAAGACCAAAGATCTCGAGCGCGATGAGCTAGAAGTAATGTTTTACAGCGCATTCAATTTTACTTTTTATTTCCAGTCTCGTAAAAGAAGGAAGAAAATAAAGACAAGAAATAAACGTTATGCGGTTCTTATCACATTCTCATCAAGCAGCTGGCAAAACGACGAACGGTCTTAACAAACACACAAAGCGAACGGTGTTGTGATCTTGTGTGCATTTTTGTCGGATTTGTTTTCGTACTTCGAGTTTTGCTGTACATGTGATCGCTTACGCATTTTTTCGCACTCTTTTCGCCATGCATTGGTTGTGCTGTTGCGGTGGCTGCTTGTTTGCGGAATATTTATGCAAATATGCCAACAACCAATTACTCGAAACGTTTCCAGTGAAATCGAAAACAAACGCCGTAATTAGGTAAATCGAACAAAAATCCATGTATGGATCCACAGACACTTCATATTCTTACCTTAGACAAGAGAAAACATTTGCTCATTTTCTGTATTCATCGGTGATGATCTCATTTAGCACTTTACCTTAGTTATTTTTTCTCATGTCTTTCAAGTCTATTCCGTCTAATTGATTCAATATAAATGATGGCACGCGCCCTACACCAAATTAGCTATTCATATTTATTCAAACGGACAATTTGATTTCGTGGCCGCTTTAATGTGATGATGTCATGCCTAGTTGCACTCTACCATTCGGTTTGAAACGCAGTTTTTTTCACTATCGGTCTCTCTCTCTCTGTGCTCCTTTGTTTCTCTGTCTCTCCCGCTCTTTACATGACTTTGAAAAAAATGCTCGACTTTTCAATACGAAACGCATTATAGGTAGACAAAGAAAAGGGAGAAATTAACGTTTTGGTTTTTTCTAGTGTGTTTTCGTTGTGCCCGTTTTCACCCTCGTAGCGGCGCAACGCGACGCGACGCGACTTTATTACTTCTAATGGATACGTGCATTAAAATTCAGCCTACCTGCGTGTTAAAGTGATATGGATTTCGATTCTCCTGTGTGCATTTCACTGCATTTCACTCTCTCTCTCTCTCGCTCTCGCTCTCTTTTTCGTTTGACTCGTGCCGATCGAATGACCGAGATATATACAAGATTTGTCCGTGCACTGAAAAATGGGCACGAGCAACGAAACAACATCAAAAGGCAACAACGCAACACAGACACAACTCAATCGGAATTGATGAACGTTTTATGTTAATGCATCGCATGAGTTAAGTGTACATCTTGAGCATGCAGTGAGAAAGGTCCGGCACGTGAAGAATTAATTGTGGTCTTGTAACGAATTTCATCCAAAGGCATAATTGTCAACGCGACCAAGTGATGATGATATTCCGGTTCTTTTTTTCCTTGTTATTTAATGAAAACCAAAAAAACTGAATATTTATTCTAAAAAAGCACTTTATTATTTATTCCAAAACTCGATGAACATTCAATGCATTTACTGACCAACGTCCAATGCTAGTGAGTTCATTTTAAGTGTAATAATTTTGAGATTTCCTTCATCTTTTAAATTACTACGTCATAAATTCAAAAGGTTCGTTTCGTGAATTTGAATCTTTTTACGCTATAAGCCAAAAATTCTAGTCGAATGCCAACCCAGGCTATAAGGCAGCCGTGCCAAAACTTAACTTAGCAAAGAATTACGAACTAACTAAGCAATAGTTGGGTTTATGGTACAGAATTCTTTGGTAAATTTAGCCTTCCATTCGGTTATTTATGCATTTGCTTAGCTCAAACTAGAGCGCAATTAGAAATAAATATATATATACAGAGACATTTCGATTGAAAATTAAGAGATTATTTTCGTAGGAGGAAATACGTTAAAAGCTTAAAATTATGAAACAAGAATATGCTTTGAGAATCAATTGAGTGCCGAAGTCTTCGGCCCGAATATGACCACTAAAAATCATTCGTAAAATGATTTTTTCTGATTTTCTTACCAAAAAATCAAGTTTTGATTGTCAAAAGATATTCCCGATCGATGTATGTCGAATGAGATTTTCTCTTAAAGTAAAATATTGAATCTTGATTGAAATCCCATTTAAGTTACATCAAAATCATTTACAAGTTATCTACATTTGAAGGAAAATTGAAAAAAAAAATCAACAGAAAATCATTGATCAAATTCGAATTCAATGATTTTGTGTTGATTTTCTTCTCCTTAAAAGTTATTAACCGTTAACTTTTGATCAAAAAGAGTGTAGGTGGACTCATCAGCCCCATGTTCCAATAAGGAGGCCAATGCTCGAATGTACGTCTGTGCCATTTGGAGGGTTTCGAATTTTGATAGTTTATGTTCGTCGCCCATTGGAGGCACCACATCGCGTAGCTTATCGAATGCTTCATTCAATCCATTCATCCGTCGGCGTTCTCGTGCATTGGCTGCCAAACGTCGTTTTTTCATCACCGTTGGACTGGCTGTAACACACTTTACCGTTTTATTCGTTGATCCTTTTCGTCGGCCGCGACCACGTCCTCGTTTTTCCTTCCGTGTTGGCTCTAATTCGTCGTCAAAGTCATTTTTCGCCTGAGCCGTGTACAAGTTTTCTGCATTAAATTCATGAAATTGCAGGCTGATGTCATGGCCGCTGCTATTCAAGAGGCTACTATTGTTGGTACTGCCCGAGATGTTGTTATTGTCACTGCAACTGTGCACCGATGTATTTATCCATGAACCATTCAAGCAGCCGGAATTGAATGACGAATGCAAACTTGACACGTACGGTGGACTGTTCGAAAAGACTGAACTACTTTCTTCGGCCGATGAACTGTACACAGTTGTGCGATACGGCATCAAATCCATATAAGTTGGAATATACTCTTGATATGAAGTGTCCATTTTTTTTCGTTGAACAATTTTCTCGAAGCACAGCAAAAAAATCACTTTTGAAAATCTCTTTATGCGACTCTTCACACTGTATCGGTTCGGTTCGGGTTGTTTTGTTTTTTTTTCGTTCAAATCATTTGTTTTCCTTTGTTTTGTTCCGTTCAATTGTGAATGCCGACAGGAAAAAAAACACAAAATTGACTACTGTTTTAAACAATAATGATGGATGCGGTTTGTAAAATCATTATTCATCTCGTTTTCAAGTCTTTCCATATTCACACCAAAAAAAAAATGTTCGTTTTTTTTCTCTTCTCACATTTGCTTGAGTCACTGAAAAAAATCCTTTGCAGTCGCCGATGGCAAAATAGACGAACTGACCGATCGTGTTGCACACATACTCGGTGCGATTCTATTGAACTTAAAAATTGGACTAACTCAATAATCGTGGCCGAGGAAGAGGTTCGCCGTGTTATGATACCGCTTCAATAATAAATAGTGTGATGCATACGGAATGGAACAAAAATTATACGAAAATAAATTGAATGCGAACGTTGAAAAGAGAAGGAGTAGTGGCAGTGAGAAGGCCAACAAGGACTTGTGCTATAGTTTTAACAACGTTGTAATATGCCTGCCTCATACTCTCTTTTTTTCTGTGTTCGATTCACATTCACGCTGAAGTGTTCGATAATTTGGCTGCTGTTGTTGTGCGTGTAGTGCCGAGTGGGGATGGACACAATGCGATGCGTTGTGTATGCTTCTAATTATTCAATATCACAAAAATACATATACTTTTTTTCCACTACTAAAATTAAAAACACACCGTTCTCGCTCACACTCTTGCTCGCGTCCTGTGATGAATAGGGATGTCTCGTCGTAATTCGTTTCGAAAATAAAATGAAGAAAAAAAAAACCGTTTTTCTCTCTGTCAGTTGTTCAGTTGAACGGTTGTTTTACTAGCTCTTTCGCCTTCAATCGTCAACCACAACAACGGTACACACACGATTATCGCTTAAGATCTAGCGCATTGCTCAAATGGGTCGTGTGCTAATCGACAACTCGTCGAAAAGGACGAACACATAAAACCGTCTCCGAAATATAGTGTGTTCGGTTATGTGTATAAGTGAACGGCGATGCTTTTCAATTCCTTCAATGTTTGTATTTAATCACTAATGTGTATATGTCAGTGCGTGGCGAAGGTAAAATTATTCTCTCATCTCGTTTCTCTTTGCACCCGAATGTAGAGTAGTTATGCAGCTCTTCTTTCATTGTAGCACAAGCAACAGCAACAGAAAAACGAAAATAGAGGAATAAATTATGTGTACGTATCATCTGGACACTATAAGCTTCGGACGATCGGTACGAAGAACAAGAGAGAGAACGATAGAGAGAGAAACAGCTAAGCACGAAAACTTGTAACCATATGTGAACAAGAGTCAGTTGATGGCACGTACCCTCCGTTCCTACGTATGTCTATAAATTTCGTATAAGCGTCTGAGCCAACAGCAAACCAACACATATTGACGTATACACGAATTTCACTTAAAGCGTACTATTCAAACGCACAGTCACATTCCATCCTTGTTCTCCGTCGCACTACCGCGATCAACAACAGAACATTCGATCTCCAAAAGCGGTACACGAGTCGCGCCTGTGTTCTGTTCGCATTGTCAAATAAACTTTGCATTTTATGTTATTTTACGTACTAAAAACGGTGCTACAGCCACTCAAGTACATGTATTTTATACTTTAGCTACACAACGGACAGATGTGTTTTTTTCACTCGTCTCATTCGATACGAGGCGAGGCAAATGCTCTTTAATATTTCATGCAAAAAAAAATGCGAAAAACAAAAGATTCTGGAAATATGATTTAAATGCATTAGATGAAACTGTCTCAAAAATGAACTCTAAGTCAATTGTCAGCGATTACTGTGGATCAGTTGCGGTTCAATAAACTGTTTTATTCTGTACAAAAAAATAACGTTCTACTCTGTGAGTGAGTCTCTAAGGAAAAAAAACAACTTGTTCCACCGATCAAATTTCATGAATTCAGGTTCATTTGACAAACCAAACGCATGAAGTAGCCAATAGATATCAAATGTCCACCGAAAAAAGGTGCATTCAATGAAAAACATTAAATATGTATAATGTAATCAAAATTATGAACTTTTGACAATGAAGAGAAGAGAGAAAAAAACGATCGGTCGAAGTTTCCACCTGTACATTTGCATCAGTTGACCGCTTTCCACCGCTTTCAACAATCGATTCATAATTCCTTTGTTGTGTTTTCTCTCTCTTTTTCTCTTTTTCACTCTCTCTCTCTCTCTCCATTTTATTCATCTCCATCAGCGTATTTTTGACTACTGCTCCATTGGCTATGGCAATTCAAGTCCTGAGAACATTTAAATCGATGAATTTTATTCGAATATTGTGTTGTTGGTTTTTTTTTTTGCTTCCCGAATTTCGATGCAATTGATCATCGGCGATTATGGCAGTTCGCACAATATTTTTTTTTTCCTGTGTGCATTCACTCTGAGTGCAGCCGCATCTGAATCTATTGTATTCAAAGGCAGCAAAAAAAATGAATTTTGCCAAAATTAAGCAATAATCATATTGCAACTGAAATGTTACAACTGGTTCGTATATATACGAGAGTATATTGTCTCTCTCGTTGACAAGTACTTTGTCACAAATGGGTCGTAAAATATATCGATGATTTCCGCTTTTTTTCTTGCTGCTGCAGCCACAACGGAGAGATGCAGCGGTGCAGATGAAATGTGCACCGAGGAAACAAAGTGATCTCTTTTACGATCGATTTGCTACGGTTGGTTTGAGCAGCAACAATTTTATGAAAATCGATACAATGACACAAAAAAGATGAATGAAAAAACGAACGCTGGGACGTCCGCAAATGAACGATTCCGCTTTTAGTCTCGGGTGTTAATTGCCTGCAAAAGTGTCAGCTTGTGCCAAAAAACTGTTTCGTGGTGATGATTTGCATTTGTCTTGCAGCAAGAAGCTAAAGAACTTCTATGACTTGGAAATCTTAAGATTTTCGCCGTTTTTCGTTGTTATGTTTCAGGCATCACCCTCCAGCATATGGCTTTTTATTTTATTTTTTGTTCAGTTACACTTTGAAACCGCATGTGACATGAAAATTAGTTCGATTCTCGTTTCGTTCCGCCAGCATTATTATTATCGTTTTCCTTGGTAGCAAATGTGACTTCCTCCGTGCTTTTTTTCGTCAATCAACCCGAAAAAAAAACTAGTGATTAATGTTTGATGAACTGAAAAAAAATGATGATATAAACAAATTTAACCCTTTTCTCAATCTTGAAGTTACAAATCCCAATCTTCATTAAATCTGATGTAATCAATAAAAAAAAATCACAATAAAAAATATACAAGACCAATCGCGCAATAGGATACAAACGGAAAAAAAAACAGCAGCAACAACGACCGAATGTCAGACAAATGGAGAAGAAAAAGAAAAACGGAGTTTCCTTTATTTCCTTGGCCCATATGTTTAATTAAAAGATTACAATGCATGTACGCATGTATATTTGGTGCACAAAACTTGAGTCGACGCACGACCAACTGTTTTCTGTGTAAGCTCACTACTTTGTCTCTGTTCATCGTGCGTTTTGGAGCGAACGAGAAAGACAGAGCAATTGATATTGATGCTAGTTCAGCAGAAGATAATTCGAACACGTGTCATGATTTTACCTTGTGCGCATCACATATGATGCTATAAAACTCAAGCACTTCAGGGTGATCAATGTCTGCACACACCATCAAAAACTGTTTACTGCTATTCCAAAACGATTTGAATAATACTCTTCAAGGGGAAAAAGTACAAGAAAGATGACAACAAATAAATACGCACTTTAACATAGACGATGCCAGCTACAGAAAGGACTCAATATGTTTATTGTATCATTCGCTCTGTGTGCCGTGTGCGCACACGAGAACCTACTCGAATTGGGTTTACATATTAAAAATTCATTTTTTTTCTCTCTGTCTTTGAAAGTGAAG